ATCATGCCGCAGAGTACCCGGGACTAGAAGGAGCGCGGAGCCCACATGGATACGTTATGACCCGTTTTCCTTTTCCTCCAATGCATAGAGCCTGTCGAGAGACGGGAGGGGCAAAGGGTGCATGACTCTTACGTTCCTCCTCTTGAAAATGGCAAGGCATATTGGTAGGGTGGAACGAAGTACATGTACTGTGCAGTATTCCCTCCCTGCACGATCAGCTCGGAAGAATAGTACGAACCTAGTTTGTTTATGTCACCACAGGTCGTAGACTACTCAAGCTGTAGAATGAAATGAACGCGTGTACAAGAAAAGATCTCGGCGAGGAAGGTAGGGTGTGTAGCAGATGTAGTGTATCAACCGACGGAGGCAACATGCCTCGCCGGACCCACCCACCTGCCTTCGCATCAGTAGGCGGCATATCAATGAATGTAGGTGTCGCGGATATGCTCCATATGGTGTCTTTGAAAGACAACCGGCGAGGTTTGGTTCAATGTCGCTCTTTAATATCGAGCTGCTTCACACATTAAGCCGCTCGTCGCGAAGTGCATAGCTTGTTGAGGTGATCAAAGGCGCATGAACATACACTTATGTTTGTCAGCGACAGAGTTCATCGCTGAACCTTGAGGGTAGTCACAGTGGTTCGGTTTCTTGCGGTGGTTTCCGATGACATATTTCGAGCTGTCATTTGATGGACGGTTTGGGGTTCAGGTACACCCTACGGATATGGAGTGGTGAGGTGTGGTGAGGAATGCAGAGACTTTCAATGGTGCAGGAATGCGAGAGGCATTTCACTCATGGCATCACGAAACGTTCGCGCTTGTTTGCTTGAACACCCTATACCACCACCGCAAGGCCATCCCAGAATACTTGTTCGATTGCCGTGACTAGCACCCTCGGCGCTTGTAACCAAGAGTGATTTGCATTCAGATGAGGGGGGCGATATTATGCATGTGGAATATGCCCCGTTGTATTTTTCGCAGTGAGCGACTTGTTGTCCGAAGCTGCGGCATCACTAAGATGTCACACGGAGTAAATGATGACACAGCTTGCCGGGACTCTCTCAAACTGTGTAGAGCAAGCTGCCACCCATACATTACGGTCATGTCACCAATTCAAGCCCCTTGAACTTCAACGCCCCATCTACCCTCCCCCCCCTCCCGCTTCGCCACGAGCACCACGACCGCGACGTGCCTACGTTACCTTGCGCCCGAGACCCCTTCCCCTTCCCCCTCCCCCTCGCGAAATGAAGCGCCATGTACGGTACGATACAACACATGTCTTGCGACACACCCCGGATCAGTGACAACAGATAAGCACTACATTTCCCCGCTCGAAAAGCAGCGCCCCCAGGGAACACAAACACAACGTCGATAAACGCCCACCTAGAGTAAACGGGAAACAACTTGCGGGGAGGCGTCAGACAACTAACTCAGGATTGGCGGGTGTCCACGTGCACAGGCGCGGTCCCTTCGTGTTCCAAAATACCATGCAAATAGCATCGTTGCAAGTGTTTCTCACATGCTGTCGGCGGCAACAACTAAGCGAGATGTGAAAAACTAACTCGTCACGGGTCTTGCTTGCACAGACAGATATAAAGCAACGGAGAGGACTACATATCTACAGGCGCAGCTCGTAAGAGAGAAACGCGGACAAGACAAACCGAGCAACAGTAGTCCGCGCAGCGGGCTCGAAGAGGGCCGGGGGGGGAGGGGTCGTATCGAAATTCGGTGGAAATGGAGAGGGAACTATTCGCACATGGTTTCATCCTCGACCGACACTCAAGACTCAGGTCTCTCTCAGGTTTTTAAGTCCTGATACACCTGGTTCTGTACCAACTCTCCAGCCAGCATCGGGCCAATCGTAACTTAGAGTGCAGTCGCCGCCATCAAGAATGAAGAATCAGAAGTCTACGATAGGCTCGAGAAGAGGACATCCCTTCGAACACTTCCTGTGCTCCAAACCTACCAAGTGGTAGTCTTGGGGGGGGGGGCGAACAGGAGAAAAACGGCGCTTGGTTAGCACACCTACGAACAGCAAAATGTGAGACTATTCCATCGTTCCTGGTACGCAAGAATATCAGGACCTACATGTGCTTGCCAGCACCAGAAGCCGTGAAAGGTATAGAACGCAAACGCTGAAATCCGGAATTAGATAAATCGTTACGCACAAAAGCCATGGAGTGCGCTGCCAGTGGAACGTTCAGGACACCAAGCTCGAGCGGGATATCGACTTGGCGCATACGCTAGACTCCGGGACGGCATCACCAGCTACAGGCGTCATCCACGGTTGATTGTCATGCATGGTCGGCGGCGGGGATGGCGATGAACCCCCGTGTAAGGTCTAAAAATGTATCAGTGTGTTCGTCGTGCCCACTTCAAAAAAACCTAACGGTTCGGAGGGGAAAATCGTTGCTAGTACCCGGGTTTCAACGGGGTTGCTGTTTCCGCTAGGGAAAACTTTCAAGACACCAGAAAGCGGGGATGATCCTGAAATACTCACCCCCTCTCAGTTACCTTTGATCGGACTGAAAATTTCAGTGTACGGAAAACTCGGGTCAAGAATCTTGAATCTGTTGTTAGATTTTCCAAATTCATTGATCGCAAGTGAGCTACAGCTATTCAAAAGGCTAAAAGGCGGGGGTGAAAGGCTAGCAGCCACGGCCCTTGCAACTTCAAATATCCGGCTCCAAGGGCTGAAGGTCTCGGCATTGGGTATTTCTGGGAGGGGATCACGATTCTTTCCATCAGAACGACGCATCACAGTGTTGCCGTTGACAAATAAGTGCAAGTACCAAAGTGACTTTTTCCCTCAAGGATTCAACCACAATTTCGTTTTCAGAAGTTGCTCTACCCTCCCGACTTTTTCTGGACAACTTTCTGAGTGGCTCTACCGCCCCTTAATCGATCAAGCGGAATCGATTGCGGTGGTAAATGGGGAACAACAGTAAGACCAGCAATCCTGAAACTTTGTCTTTTGGAGTACTTATTAGACGCCCGTCTTGAGTGTTAAAAAGGGAGAAAAACGTCGATTGTACATTGTAGTATCAGAAATATATATTTTAAGTTGGACAGAGCCAATGTGGATCAACCGTGGATGGCACCTACAGCAAGAGCACAATAGCTTCCATGCAGGCTGTTCGATAACGGCCAAGATGATATTACAGCCCACTACTCAAATCAAGACGAAGATGCAGCCGTACAAGTACCTGGCTCTCGTTCCTGACAGCCGAACGCCAATCGGGCAACCGGCAATGATCGGCCATGACACTGGATACTTGTTGCGCCGCTTGCTCCGCTCGAACCCTTGTTGGTTTCGCGCCTCAGCACGATTTGGGCAGTTCATGGCAGCTGAAACGTTTTACACACCCGATTCCCGAAACGTTACACAGAGTGGACGCAGCAGATGCGTACGCAACATATGTGTACGCAACATATGTGGAGCAACCCAAAACGAGATCGGGCCAAACCCGTCAATCCCCTGCAGATACTACTTTTTGTCGTCCAGAAGAGTCGCGAGAACGCCGCAATCGCAGGCGACGCCATTGTAGGTCTCCAGTTAATAAGTGATCAAATCGGGTGAAAGCACAGGTTCGCAACTCTTGCAACGCGCTCGAAGCCGTCCTGGTGGCCTGGTGGCCCCTGGCCCTTCTACTGCATCCTGCAGCAATCGCCAACTTTCCCATGAAAAAGGAACGTGGCCCCCTCGTTAAGGGTGGTTCAGCACCCCAGAGGCAAGGTGTTGCCACGGACGCTCATGGTAGCAAAACACGAGTCACATGCTCACCGTGCGAACATGTTTCTGCCATGGTTTGTCCTCAATCTTTTGCAACAACCCTTCTAACACGGGAAAACGCAATGAACAAAGGCCTCGGACCCGACATTCGACGACACCCATGTCGATCGCACAACTCGATAAGGAACTTCTGACGACTAAACTTGGGCTATCCTCTAAACCTACTGCTTTTGTTGGGTGGCAAGCCTCTTCCACTGTGACTTTTTGGCAAACAGCCTTACAACAGGCGTCAGTCTCTCGCAACACCATGCGTTGATCCTTGCAACACACAGCAGCCATTGTTTCCGCGACGGTCGACGCGAAAAGAGTCATTTGCACTTGAATATTTCGTAGTGGGCAACACTCCTGACTTTCGATTGAAGCAAGTCGAAACGAACGTGTTTGCCATTTGCCACGAAATGAAAGCTCAGAAGGTGTTCCGGTCGGACATTCATTATCGGGGATGTGATCGACATAGGCGTCTTCTGTGGCTGGGTCAAAGGTTATTTCCTTGACTATTACTGTTGAAAGGGTTCTTGTGCGGGCGCTCGGGGACAAACTACGACAGAATAATGTTTTCTGGGTGAGCGCCTGATAAATCTTTCGCTGCCTTGAGCGCCCCCGACAATATTACCTTGTTCATGTAGGGTGTTTAAACCCTTTGCGAGTGTGCCCACGTTCATTATTCGTGGCAAAGTCGGCGATTACGGAGGGTGTGGTGAGGGCCGCCAGCCCATCAAGACCATTTTGGATGTTTCAAAAGTTGGGTAAAATGCTTATTTCAGCCAAACTGATCATTTTTCTACCTGCAAACAACCGGCCTTGCGACAAATTGGGTAGAAAATGGAATGACCACCGTGCCTTCGGTAACAGTTGTGAGTGGAAATCGGGGCACGACGGGTGGGAGAAGACCGCATTTCGCACGATTGCGGGCAGATGTGCATTGCTGATCGGTCGTATGTTCTGTAAAGCAAGAAACAAGAGTTGGTACATGTATGCTTTCAGTTGCATTCCTGCGACTGACTAGTGTCGGACTGTATTTAGCCACAAACTAAGTAACCTAGTCCAAGACGCAAGTGGCTATGCGGAGCACTCGAGACCAACGCCTTCCGCACCTCCCCTGCCCCTGCTCGTGCCAGAAACACTCACGAGAGCAGGTCGTCCATCTTTGCTCGTCTGGCAACGAAATCACCACTACCCGAAGGCAACAAGTTCCCCTCCTTCGCACCTCATAGAAAGCCCACCACCGAGCGGAACAACCCGTCAACCTCCAGTCCGATAAGCCTGTCCACCAAATCCCTCCAGTCGACCATCATCTGGTCTTCCGTCTCCTCATCGACCCCACCCGAATCCTCGCCGCTAACCCTTGCCACCTGGCGGAGCAACTGTTGCTGCTGCCACTGCTGCCTCTCTTTGCGATTTGCACCCTGGTTGAGCAGGAACGGCTCAGCACCAGCCAGTCGCGACGACGCCATGACCTGTCCGCTGGAGCACGTTTCAGCATGCGACAGATGTGCTTGTGGTCGGCCTTGATGTCTTCGTCATCAACGTCGTCCTCATATCATTCGCTCCTATCGCGTCTATCGGGATTGCTCCATCGTCATTTGACCAAGTTTCATCTGCCCCCCAACGTAGCAGCAGCTCCACAGCCGCCCCGTTCGAGTAACAGCAGGCTACGTACAGTGGCGTCTCGGCATATGTAACCAGGGAATTGATGTTGACCCCTCCCTCCAACAGGGCGCGGATCGTCCTGATCGATGATGTCCGAGCATCTACGGCCAGATGAAGCGGCGGATGCCGCAACAAATTTTGGTCAGCCTTTGCGCTGACATCAGCCCCAGCTTCCAAAAGTACACGGACAACAGCACCGTTGTCATGGACAGGGCCATCAATGGTAGCGGCACCGTGCAGAGCGGTGAGTCCTTCATCATCCGCGGCGTCGACGTCACTTCCTGTTTCGAGGAACATTTTCACAATGCTCGCGTAACCTTTGTTTGAAGCAATCTCCAGTGGAGACCAGCCGTCGTCTGTGATACGGCGACGATCAGCACCGGCAGTCAAAAGCTGTTTCACAACCCGGAGCTGGTTGTGGGATGCCGCCTTGAACAGAGGCGTTACATTTCCATCACCGCCCACGTCCTTGTCTGCGCCTCCCAGCAGGAGCTCAGAGATGCGTAGCGCATGGCCCTTGGAAGCAGCGAGGGTGAGGGGAGTGTCTCCAGAACATGTCTTCGCGCCCACTTGGGCCCCTTTCAGCAGAAAGAGACTCATGACGCGGTCGTGCCCCGCTTCGGCAGCGAGGTGGAGCGAACGGTATCCCCGCCGGTCACTCATTTCCGGGTCTGCTCCAGCGACCGTGAGCGCCTTGGAGGCCTCCTCGGCACCCCACGCAGCTGCAAAGTGGAGAGTAGATTCGTCTTCAGGTCCGAAGACGACGTTTACATTATCCGTCGCCCCAGCTTCGAGTAAAGCCCGGACTACCTTTTCGTTTTTGCCGCATTCAGCCGCACCCAGTAGCGTTCATCCATTGCATCCCCGCCAGCCTGGCTCCCCGCTGACACCAGCGTCCATCAGTCGAGTGAAGAGATCCAAGTTTTCTCTAGCCGCGGCATACTCCAGAGGTACTCGAAGCCACTGCTTCCATTGATCTGAAGTCACCTCCTCCTGCACGAATTTTAAGATCTCGATCTCGAAGCCGTCAAGCCGTAAGCGGTCATCTTCGCGCTGTGACTGATACGTTTATGAATTATGTACCCGAACTCGGTCGTGTATTACTGGTGTATGTAGAGCGTACGAGGGTGGTCTAATGCTGCTGCTGGTAGGCTAGGTAGGCTGGGAGTCGACGCGGAGTGGTGAGTGGTGAAGAAGGTACAGCAGCAGTAGGCCGGAGAATGGTGTAGGCGGCAGGTACATTGGCTCGCTTGACTCCCCTAAGTAAGCTGGCAGCGGGCTCGCCGCGACAGGGGAGTCGCAGACAGGCTAATCCACGTACCGTATTTTTCTGCGGGGCCGCCATCCCTCAAATGCGCCACCCCGCCACGACTGACAGGAGTATGATCTTCTGCTCCATACTCCGTCCCAGCGGGCCAGCCGACCAGCAGCAATAACACAACGTGTCTGCAATAGAGGAGATCACTACCCTCGTACATTACACCAAGAATTATCCATTGGTGTGATCCAAGACGACACCAGCAGCTTCAAAACGTGGAGACCGCTCGCTCACCTTGTGTTGACGGCTTCGTCCAGGAGGCGAAATGGGAGCAGCAGTGAAAACAGTGGCTGCGAGCGCCTCTGGAGCATGCCGGGAAACTTGGATTTATGTATGCACTGCAGATAGGTGATGGGATTGATGGTGGCGTAGGCTGGCGGAGATGCTATGGACGAACACGGCTGGGGCGTGGCTGCATGCCGAAATGCACGCAATGCTTGCTCGGGGAGACTCTGGAGACGGATGATGATGAAATGTCCTCTTATCGGAGCTGCACGCGAGTCCGCATTCCACGTTGCGGCAGGTCGGGGTTCAAAGGAGGCCTGAAAAACTCTCATGATTGTCGGAGAAAAAGATTACTGCATCCAGACACCACCGTTGAATCAGCAAGAAACCGAAACGAAACCATGACACGTTACGCAGCGGTTTCGGAAATTAGTCTATAGGTTATCATTATCTCGCGGGCGATACCCGCGGACTCACATGAAGCCCGTTTGCTGTGTGTTAAGTACAACTAGGAGGGCCGCAAGCTTTCAAAATGTTGCACCTCCCCAATGAAGGAAAGGAGACACCAAAGCCGGGGCGTCGTACCGCGGCAACACAGAATCAACCGTTCACGTCTGCCGCCCAGAATGAAATGCGGGGCTTTCTTTCATCGTACGAACGAGTAAAATTAATGTGTGTCTTCTTGCCTGAGAATGATTCCTAAATCGCTTTGCAATCCATGTCAGTGCCTGGAGGGTCTTGCACAACATACAAGAATCGTGTTCGGTTTCAAATACATGCGTCAAGTATCAACATTTAGGAATGTTCGTGTTGGTTCGGCGGATATTTTTCGAAATATATATACGAGAGACGAACTAGCGCGAGCCCCAAGAACAATCTACGACCGGCACAGAACGGAGAGAAAGATGAGAAGGCGCTTTTTACGAGCAGACGGATGCATGTCTTGCTAGTCCAACGATGGAGACCACCAGAACGCGCTCTCTTCACGTCATGCCCGCAGAGAAACCGGGGCTAATAAGAAGCGCGGAGCCCAGCCGTTTTGCTCTCTAAGAGTATGTGAGCCGGGCTGGAAGCGGGCCGGTTAACGGGGCCGTATTTTGTATTTTGCGCTGTACCCCCTTCATGGATATGGCAATGCAGGCAGTAGTCTATCCCTTCTCTACACGGGCGGGTTCCGAGCTAAAGCCGAATTTATTTGGGGGGGGGGGGAACGG